GAGCTATATGTCTTACGGAAGCTACCGCTACCTCCACCTCCACCTCCACCACCACCACCACCGCCTCTGGAGGTCACGGTGTAGCTCTTCACAGACGTATTCATATTTTCCTCTGACAGGGTAGAATTCACAGACAAAAGGTAGAGCAGAGAGAGAGAGGTATGGCAGGGCGCACAAAGAGGAGAGTCGAGTCCCTCTAAGTGTCTTCTTGCTCTCCGTGATGGACTTTTATCTGCCTCCAACAGTGGAGGAGGTCTCAGTAAGCTCCACCTCCCCCTTTACCTGCCTCCTGTTACCTAGATCCTGGAAGGTGCATTTGCAGGCAATAAGCAGTATGACTTGCTTTTAGTTTCGTTAGTGGCTTCGTTGATGAAATTTGTTTTTTCATGTAGCACTTTGAGATTTAATTGCAAAAAATGTAAAGTGCGTTACAAATTAAATGTATTATTATTATTATTATTATTATTATTAAGACACAGATTTGATGCATGACGTCAAAACCTGTAAGAGTGGAGAATACAGAGTCTGGAGGTGTGATTCAGGTGATGCGATTGCATTAAAGTCTTGACATTAAAGAGTTGACATTCTTTTGAAGTCCTGAAGATGTATTGTAAATATTCCAACCAACCTTTATTCTGAAAACTAGTTTTGTACTTGTCATGTATTCTTGCCAACAGTCTTGTCAAAGCATGAATATATCTACTTTTATTCAAACATGCATCAAGAGTTTTTTATTTTATTATTTAAGTACTATTATTATTGTATTCTTTGTCATTATATGCTTTAGCAATATTGTCACATTCAGGCCTATAAAGCTTAAATCTGACATAAAAATAGGAAAAAGATGTTAGATCTATGATTATGGATAGAGTGACTAATTGAATGGTTTCTCATTGATGATATATATATATATATATATATATATATATATATATATATATATACTACATCAATAAAATTTCCCGATTTGGAAAGCAACTTATTTACAGGAAAATACCATTTGGACCACTGAGCATGCGCAGAAACGGATGGAGCATTTTATCAGGGCAGGGGGGTAGCGTCAGGGGAAGTTGGTTTTCATCCAGTGACGTCAGACGCATGGTGGGATTCGTGGGAAGTTTGAGCAACGTCTGATGTGTAAAAAATGGCTAAATGGATGAGAAACATTGCTTATGGACTAGCATTTCACATCGAACAAACAACATATATGCTGATGAATTGTCCGGGTTGACGAGGATGAAGTTAAAAGAGTACAGAAGCTGGTTTGAGGCTTTATCCACCACTTTGATGAAGGTAAGACAAACTGACGTCATGCCCACAGGTCCGTCCTTACTGTAAACGTTGTGTTTGCGGGCCGCCCCCCTAATATAATGGTAGGGGAAACACTGACTCTAAATTGTCAAAGCTATAATGATGTAGGTGCCAACTGAGGGCCAGATTTACTAAGCTCCCAATACTAAATTGCGTGTTCACTCCAAAAGTTTGCACGTTTGGTTGGTGGGCGTTTTGCAGGTGATCTACTATGAGAATTTGCGTGAATGACACCAGGTGCAAACCTTGTGGAGGCGGTACTATTTAAGTTAGGTTTTTGCATGTTCTACTGGTTTACATCACGGAGAGTTTGGACAGAAAGCAGGATGACTGCAAGCGCAAAATAGGTATTAGTGAGAGAGGCAAATAAACGCACAATACTTTCGAGTTATAGGAGATAAATCTGAATATTACAAAGAAAATTTTGGTTATAAGAAAACATCGGCATTAAACAGGGCCTCTCTTTTCTTCCCTTAATCTTAAGAATGAAGTGTCATACATTGCGCAGGAGGTGCGAGCTGTGTCCTCTGTGGCACGGGCGCTCTACACTCGCCGTTGTTGCGCACCAGACAGCTGATCGGACATAAATGCCCTGGAAAGAGGTGTCGAAGACGGGGGTACAAACAGTGGTGAGGTCCCCCAATCCAAGCGTCCTACAGAGTAGAAGCAGCGGGCTTTAGAGGGAGGTGACGAGCGCATTATGGAGAGGAGCGCACAAGAGGGGGCGAGCTGGGGGAGAGACGTGTAGCCCGAGAAAAAGGAAATCCCCAGTTTAAAATGTAATGTTGGTGAAAAGAGGGAAATAGAAAGACATAAATGTCAATGTTGAAATTCTATAGAATGCAGAGGCTGTGGATGTTCAGTTTTGTTTAGATATATTTATGGCAACAATAGCCTGTAGTTTAATCATGGTGTTTCTCTGCCTTAACGATTAGAATATTGAATCAAATTAAAAAACAAATGCATGCCATTTATTTTTCTGTCATTTGAAACATAAACACGTGGGGAAAAACGCGATCTTTATGCTTTCTTTTGTTGTGCCTATGTCTCCTCACTACAATAACAGCAGCCTGTTGTGCGTAACGCTGGTCTCCTGGATTAGCACGTTCCTTTCAAAGGTGTTAAATTCAGACACCGTCACAATCACAGCAATTTTTGTCAGGTTTGGTGAATCTCAATGCGTGTACTAACTTAAGTTGTTTGCATTTTCTCCTCCCAGTATTTTGCACCTTAGGGCAGAAACGCCCCATATTGCATATTCATTAAGGTAAACGTACTAAATGGACAATGCGTGTTGTTTTGCTCATTTGAAAGACGCAATCGTCACTGTGCGCTGTTAGTAGATCAGATAGCACTTTTTTTTTCTGGTGGAATCAAGTTTGCACACGTTTTAAGACACGCAAACCTTTAGTAAATCTGGCTCCGAGTGTCTGTACAGAGTTGTCATGGGAACGGTTAGGGGCCGTCTCCAAAGTGCATTGCAGCAGCCATTTTTCGTTCCTAAGTTTTTCTACATCAAATCACAATCATTAAGGGAAGAATGTGCGGCATTTAATATATAAATATAGCAGAAATTAGGGCTGGATGATATAACCTCAAATCAATATCATGATTAATTGAACATTTTACCTTGATGAACAATTATTTGTTTTTTGCCCTCATAGTTCACTGACATGGTCTCTACTCTCTAATAAACTCAACTATGAAAGCTGGGATATGTTTTCTAATGAAAGAGTGCATATCTGATTAACTCTTTTGTGGTTATTTATTGAATATTTCAAACTGAAATCAAAGCATCGCTTGAAATTAAAACGACACATTTTCGTTTTAAAGTAGAAATGAACTTCTCTTAAACAGTAGAAAATAAATAACTTGCATTTCTTGGAAACTGTTTTTCTGCATTGTTTACATTTAACTTCTTATTCTTCTGTGTCGTCTTCCCTAAAGACAAAATGTGTCCTGAACACTCCACTTGTTGTTTCTTTCTTTGACGATGATAAGAAGTAGTTAAAGTTAGTAAGTTAGGCTTCATTAAGAGCCAAAGGTAAGACTCTTCTGTTCCTAAAGTTGGCTAAATCTTTCCTTTTTGTTTTATAGGAACTGAAGTAGCAAGAAAACATTATTCAAAATCAGCTTCTTCTACATGATTACCGCTCGCTTACCATAAAAAAATGATATTAAACACTGAAGTGAACATCAGATTTTCTTGTCATTTGAATAACATGAAGTCACATGCCGCACATTATTTAAAACTGATGTAAAATGTAGAAAAGTGCTATACAAGCTCAATTCCATTTACCATTTACATGTGGCACAATGTAAAACTGATGTATAAAGTTGTAATGTGTTATCCTGCTGGACAACGTGTCACTGCTAGTGTCCAGATTTTACATGCGTTAAGTTGTGTGCAGTGGTTGATGGTGGAATCTGACGGCACTTATCACTGCATTTTATTCTGGTATATTCGTTGCACCGGTGGTCAAGATGCAGCAAACTTTTAAGATGAAAAAGTGTGTCTCATCACTTTTAAAGGTAAGTCCATGACCTTAAACTCCAGTGTATATCATTTGATGTTAGTGTGTGTAGCAAACAAATGCATATACAAAGTTCTAGTTTGACAAAGAATCAGCTGGTAACAGTAAAATGTCTAATTCTAAGTTTTTAACCAAATACAGAGTTTAAGACAATTAGCTCAGCTGTTTATTTAGCAATTAGCAGGTTACATCTGATAAAATCCGACACTGACAGTTGTCATTTTGTTCATCAAGTGGTGACTAAAAACAAAAAGTTTCCTGTATTATTTCTGAGTAATATTTGAAAATGTATTGTTTCAAAATGATAGTTTAATAGTAACTCTGCTGCTGTCAACCCTTATCTTTGAACACTATTATTATTCTATGCTAAGATTCTAATAGACAGGAAGATGTATAAAGAGGTGTATTAAACCAAATCATTTGTGTAGTTCAAAGTTGCTTCATAACAAAACCTTAAAAGAAAAAACTCAACAGCTAAAGTGATTATGAAATCAGATTTATTTCAGGCATTTGGTGTTACAAATTCATGATGGATCTGTTCTTTTCCAGTCAGCCTTAACCATGTTTCATTTTCATTTAGAGTGGAAATGGAAGCAAAGCAGGATCAGGACACACTGATATGCTGAAGTGGAGAGCTCATTTTCTCTCCGAACAAGAAAAGAAAAGAGGACACAACAAGTGAAATATGACAGTGTTAAGTGTGGCTGCTTTTGATGATGTCACAATGCACACGATGACAGATGTGATACAACAGAGAAGACATTGCAGGAAGATGGAGTCATAGGTGTGACAGGTGTATGTCATGTATTCTTAAAAATTCAAGACCAGGTATACAATTTTGCCCCCTGCTCAAATATTTAACATGCTGGTATTTTGTGTGCAGTTATTGTTGCTTTGTTGAGATTTTCTGTCATGACACTACAAGTATCATCTTGTCTGCTTGACAGCACATCCAGCAACTAAAAGACAGCCTGGCTGACTGATCCAAAGAAGAGAGGACAGACTCACATCTCTGCTGCTCTGTTTTTCTGGTCTAATAATCGCTTTGCCTCTGATTTCTTTTTGATGTTATCTCTTACTCTCTCTGTGGTGCCGATAAGGAAGGAGCACCTCAGTGACTAAATTCCTGGGTCTGCTGGATTTTGAGGGGTGTTGAGGGTTATGGAAGCTTTGTGAGAGGCTGGAGGTACAAGAGGTGGAGAACAAATGAAGGAATGAAGAGAGAGACAACAGCTGGATTTAGTAACGAGATGACTGCCTTGAGCTGGACGTCCGTTGCACCGAGCTGCTGCTCATTCCGCCGCCGCCGCCGCTGCTGAAGCCGCCGCCGCCGCTGCTGAAGCCGCCGCTGCTGCTGAAGCCGCCGCCCATTCCGCCGCCGCCATAGCCGCCGCCCATTCCGCCGCCGCCATAGCCGCCGCCCATTCCGCCGCCGCCGCCATAGCCGCCGCCGCCGCCATAGCCGCCGCCCATGCCGCCGCCTCCGCCACCACCACCTGCGTTTTCAGATGGAATATTAGAAATCATTATTCCTTACATCTCAAATGGTGCTCTTGATTTGATGCTCAAGTGACACGGTAATAGCAAAAACTTTTCTCACTTTCAGTTTTCATAATCACATTAATGTCTTAAGATGGCCTGGATATTGAAATGTAGAGATATTTGTTAAATACGTACCAGAACTGGAGGATGATGTCTGGACGTGGATGGTTGCACTTCCACCACCAGTGGCAATCCTGAAATTTGTACACAGATAAGAATTTGAAGAAGTCGCTTCCTGCACAATGTATTTTACGTTTTCATTAAATGTCTCTATGGTCCAAAGTAGATTTGATTTTTCAGTACCTGTCCTCCTCTCCCTCCAGCAGCTTCCTGTAGGTGGCGATCTCAATGTCCAGAGCCAGCTTGACGTTCATGAGCTCCTGGTACTCACGGACCTGGCGGGCCATGTCCTGTTTTGCTCTTTGCAGGGCCTCCTCAAGGTCCCCGATGCGGGCCTTGGCGTCCTTGACTGCCAACTCTCCACGCTCCTCGGCCTCAGCAATCTGGGCCTCAAGGTTGGCTCGCTGGCAGGTAGAAAGGTAAGCAGAGGCTTTAGAAATTAAATAAAAAAACAAGCTTTGTGTGTTTATGGCTGAAAGGTCTAAATATATGTATTAAAGTGATGGTTAAGTAGCTGTTACTGTGAGTTTACCTGTCCTTTCACTGACTCAATCTCATTCTGGAGACGGCTAATCATGCGTGTGAGCTCAGCAATCTCACTCTTGGTGTTGCGAAGGTCATCTCCTGCTGCGCCTGCGGAGGACTGCATCTCCTGGAACTATATTAAAAAGATTTTTTTTTAATGACTTTTGTTAGAGATCCCAATTTTATTTGATATTGCAGATTTTTTATTTCATATTCAAACTGTGGGTGAAGGTACTTTCTCGACCTACCTTTTGTTGGTACCAACTCTCTGCCTCAGCACGGTTGCGTTTGGCGATGTCGTCATACTGAGCCTTGACATCAGCCACAATGGCATCCATGTCCAGGGTACGGCTGTTGTTCATCTCCACAACGACTGAAGTGTCCTTGATCTGTCCCTGGAGCTCATTCAGTTCCTGCACAAGAGATTTCATTTTTAAAATTGGACTTAGAAAGGAGAGCTTGCATCTATTTTTTTTATCCATACCCAAGAGGGCCAGATTTTTATCTCTTATTGTAAGCAAAATTAGATTTTACTAAAAATGGGACGCAAAGAGACAGACATGATTTTCTTACCGCCTCAAAGACAGCTCTGAGGAAGTTGATTTCATCCTGAAGGGAATCGACCTTGGCTTCTAGCTCAACCTTGTTCATGTAGGCCGCATCGACATCCTGTCAGCAGAGAAACAGAAAGCGGACGTATTTGATGAAGGCATCATTTCACTGGTAAAGTGACATTTTTACATCTCAGATCAACTCTTACCTTCTTGAGGAGCACAAAGTCATTCTCTACAGCTGCACGCTTGTTGATTTCATCTTCATATCTGACACAAATATGGAAATAATTAGCTGATTGAAAAATACAGTGTTTCTACTACTGCAGGTCGTCCGTGCTAGTATCAACTCACTTGGTCTTAAAGTCCTCTACCAGTCCCTGCATGTTCCTCAGCTCTGACTCCAGCTTGACCTTCTCATTGCCGAGACCGTCGAGCTGTCTGCGCAGGTTTGCAATGTAAGCCTCGAACATGGCGTCAATGTTGGAGCGGGTGGTGGTCTGTTCCTGCAACAGGCTCCACTTGGTTTCCAGCATTTTGTTCTGCTGCTCCAGGAAGCGCACCTAAAAAGTACAAGGGTTTGCATAATTAAGATCTATAGAAGTCAACCAGAAAATGACCATACTATGTAGTTGTTTATTACATCAATTAAATATTTTCCCAACAAGTTCATGGTCTCATTCAAAACCCTTATTCAGTGCATTTGAAGATGACATGATAAAGGGGGTATACTATAGGCTGGAGCTTCCTTAGATTGACAAGTCATTTCAGCTCCAACCTAGTTACCGAAATATTCTGTGATGTCACTTTTAATATAAATTGAATCGGGGGAAAAAGTTATTGGCACAACTTGAAAACTTTTTCAGATTTTTTTAAAAACTCTAAAATAAAATGACATTAAGACAGGAAATAATGTATTTCAATACACATGTTGGCACTTTTCTTCATGAATTAGTCATGCTGACTCCAATGTTAAAAGTATGTTTGTCTACTGTGTTTCACTTTACTCAGGTGACCCCTCTAGCTGTGTCCCACACAGAAAGAACAACTGCTTTAAGAAAACACCCCTCGGGGCAGAAATATTCTACACAAACTCCAGTCGAAGGTCTCTCTGCTCAGTACAGTTGATCTCTGATGAGAGATCTGACATGCTAATAAACATTGAGAAACATTGAGAGAACAATTCTTTGGCATGCGGCTCTGAACCCTACAGAAGGTTTTGGGTGTGAACTTGTTACATCATTTTTTTTTCTAAGGCAAGCTGAGGTGTTTGTGCCACACCTTAGCCCCGCCCCTCCCCATAAACCTCTAACATTACTTAAAGGTTAACATTAACCTTCTTCCCCTCATACTGAGTGTCACTGGATCCAACCACTCTAGTATTTTCTCCCTCTCAATCTACACAGAGACAGCTGGTAAAGGTCCAAGTGTGATGAAAGATAAGTTAAAGGAGTAGGTCAGGTTTCATTTACTGTTAGCTGATGCAAAGTTTTGCTTCGTGAATGCAGCGTGAGACACTGCTGTTTTGAACAACAAATAATGCTTGGTTGCATTAAGGGTTAGAGTTATGGATTTCAATGCTGTTGGCATTCCAATAATTCATGTTGGATCAGTTGCTGTGCAATATTTTATGTGCCTTGGAGCCCATTTGGATGCAGTTTGTTGCACTTCTACATGCTTGCACTAACCAATAAACTGTGGCTCATCTGTTTTGTGCATCCAACATCAATACCTCATGTTTTGTTCAACCAAATGTACGCTTGGGTTGACATATTAAAACTTTCTGGCTTCAAATACCATATTTTGCATGACAAGACCAATTTAAAATCAATCGAATACTGTAAACATTCTTTAACTGAGGCTGTTTCCTTGAAGTGAAAGAAGAAACTCTTACCTTGTCAATGAAGCTGGCGAAGCGGTTGTTGAGGGTCTTGATCTGCTCTTTCTCATTGCTTCGGACCTTCGAGATGTTGGGGTCGATCTCAAGGTTCAGAGGGGACAACAGGCTCTGGTTGACTTGGACGTTTGTGATTGGCGCACAAAAACCTCCGCCGCCGCCAGCACCCATACCACCTCCGAAACCACCTCCGAAACCACCAGCACCACCACCGAAACCACCACCGCCACCACCACCGCCACCACCACCACCACCACCACCACCAAGATAACTGAAACCACCACCACCATAACTGAAACCACCACCACCACCACCACTTTTCATACTAAACATTGAGCTGCCCGACCTACTACCTCCGAAATTCCCACCACTAACACTAAACCTTGAGCTGCTCATCCTACCACCGCCTCCCATCATGGCAGAACTGAGAGATTGTGAGCTATTTGACTTACGGAAGCTACCTCCACCTCCACCTCCACCACCACCACCAACGCCTCTGGAGGTCACGGTGTAACTCGTCACAGACTTATTCATATTTTCCTCTGACAGGGTAGAATTCACAGACAAAAGGTAGAGCAGAGAGAGAGAGGTATGGCAGGGCGCACAAAGAGGAGAGTCGAGTCCCTCTAAGTGTCTTCTTGCTCTCCGTGATGGACTTTTATCTGCCTCCAACAGTGGAGGAGGTCTCAGTAAGCTCCACCTCCCCTTTTACCTGCCTCCTGTTACCTAGATCCTGGAAGGTGCATTTGCAGGCAATAAGCAGTATGGCTAGGAGCGGATCAGCCTGTTAGACGAGTAACAGTGCCACCACTGTAAGGTGATCGTGGCTTGACACACCCAGGTGCTTGCAGAGGAATGGCATCAGAGCCGCGGGTTAGGAGGGAATATTCTTGTAAATTTACATTTTTATGTTCACAGAAGAACATCAGGAATCAGGGTAAATTAGCTAGTAAGATTATGGGAAATTATAATCTTTTTATGTTTGGTGCATCACAATTAAAATATAGACATTATTTTAAAAAACGTATTGCAATTAACAGAAGTATTCCTTCTGATAAGAAACTAAAAAGAATACAGTATGTTCATTATATCCTTTGTAATGAAAAAACGGTACAGCTTGCGCAGAAATGTGCAACTTGCGGCAAATTTCCAAATTCTACAATAAAAAACTGAATGTGCGCAAAGTACAGATGAGATGTAATGCATAAAAGACCATTTAGGCTTGAACTTCATGCAATGTAAAGCCATTATGAGGCTGGATGGAAGTCAAAGAAAGAAGGAAAGGAGGTTTGCATTAAGTCTTAAATAAGTAAACCAAACCAGATTTAATTTTAGTAAAACTAAGCAGCTGTCCATAGAGTATGTGCTCTAAGTAGAGTTGCAACCTACCCTTCTAGGACATTAGAAATTATGTGCATTATTTCTGAATATTGTTTTAGATTTTCTTATGAAGGTCTGAAAGTGTTTCAGATGTGCATTTAATTAAACAATTTGTTAAAAGACTTCTGGCTGTCTTAAGCCAAGAACAGAACACATAGGGTATTAGAGTTTGGAGAATGCAAGCTTGATTGTTGTTAAAGCTATGGTTTAAAAGAGGTGGCTGCTTAGAGACATTTGACTTCAAACATTAAAGAAAGTAAAACTAAACTAAACTCACGTCAGGAGGAATAGTTTTGGGTTTCGTTTTGCACATTTGATATATTCAAGCGAACTGCACACAACTAGATACACGAGGCAGACACCTTGCAGAGAAATGACCAAAGAAGAATGCTCCTCCTAAGATGAACAAAAGGGTTGTTTACACAAATAAGACATTCATTTGAGGTGAAAAAAGCAGAAATCCTTTTTAATAAGGGTTTCTACAGTAGAAGGGGTAGGCGGTAAATAAAGTGACCTGTGGACAAATGGGTAAATACCTTCTGTAAGAAATGAGTTTTGAATTCCTGAGTTCTCTGTTAAAATCATCCTTTTATTAATACGTTTGGGCCTGTAGCTTGTAGCTGCTTGAGGGCACTACACTTATTATCTGCAATGCTCATACCGCTGTATGTCTCCTTGATCCAATCATGTTCAGTAAGTGTTACCACACTTCTTTTAGATAGTAGGTATATTAAATAGACTTTTTCCAACTTGATATCCTGAATAAAGTGATTTAAAACTTTCATTAATGTCAGCTGCAGCTAAAAGAACATCAGGGGTTGAATAGTAAACCAGATTTCCTGCTCTGTCAGAATTGGAACTGTTGATGCCTGTTGGAACCCATCTGATGTAGGTGTTGGCTTCCCATTCTCTATTCTGTAGTCACACCCCAACATAAAATGTCAGCACTTCACTCTCGCTTGAACATTCTCTCATGTAGTAGCCTAGAACATATGCAGCATACTGTACATGGATGTTATGCAACTTTGCATCAATAAAACTGTTTTTTTGGCAACACCATACATCCAAAAAAATGTTAAAGCCTGCAAAATGTATACTCTAAACATTGTATGCACATGCATCTGCAGTTATTTACCATCAAATATAACCAAAGAACAATTAATGCATGGTTAAGGAAAGGCCTCTAGATCCACTTGGTAGTTGGGGGAAGAGAGTCATGCATGCACTAAGACCCACCTGGAGATAAACACTTGTACGATCCAAGGCAACAGCTTGTTTTATTTTTTTAGTTTGTTTGATACAACACAAGACAATTGTGCAATGATCATTTGCTATGTATCACAGCATTTACAGCTATTCTGAATGTATAATGCTGGTTGCCAGACGAGCATTTATAACCTTTTATAAGAAACGTCTCCTTCACACAGCATGATGCTGATGGTTGTGTCTGTGAAGTATTGATCAAAGAAAGGCTACTGAAAGAAACAACAGTCATAGAACATCTGTTATTTAACCCTAAAGACTTGTCTTCAACCTGTATTTGATATAAACATTCAATTTGTTATGTATTGTGTAGAAATTAAATATTTTTCTGTAGAGTACATATATAAAGAACAGATTGCTGCTACAAAAAACTGATCGGTCAAAGCAGGGGCCTCTAATTATACATCTTTAACCTTTTCATAAAATCTGACAGGTGTCATAGTATGTGTCTTTGAAATTACAGTAAAGCATTTCACCTTTTCTTAAAGGCAGAGACACCCACTAATCAGTTGCAGGATTATATTTGATCTCACATGATATGACAGGTGACATTTCAGGCTTTCTAGTCAGCGCATGTAGAGGAATGTTCACAAGCTCATTTTCCCTGTGAGAACCAACTTGGAGAAGGGAGTTTACTCTACTGAAACTTGGCAAGAGAAACTCCCGAGAAAAGTAAGAGTAATTACAGAAGGTGGATGAGTCGATTCTGATGTCCAATGCTTCAGTGCCAATTAAGACGCCGTTTGTATTATAACATTTTTATATTGGACTCTTCACCGTATCTTTTGGTTACACTTGATAGCAAATTCCATCTTTTTGGTGTGATTAAACTTAAGTAACATTCTTAACTTTTTTTGTCCAGGGCACTAACATTTATCTGCATTGTGTTGACACACCTTGGTACGGTAGTAAAGCCCAATGAAACACATCTCTCGAACATCATCTCTTAAACCAAATGCTATCACTGGTTTGTCTTTAGGCTCTATTATACTAACAAGGTTATGTTCATATTAGTAAAACCTATTTTATCGAAAGATAAACCTCTCTTAGCAGCTTTGAAATAAAGTAGATATGGGGATTTTACAGAGGATTTCTGAATGTTTTTTCACCAAGGTGAGATGCCTGCTTAAGTGATTATGAAGTGTTGCATTTGTTTTTGTAATGTAGAGCTGCCAACAACAGAAAAAGGCAATGCAACAAACCAAAAGGTGTCTATCAGGGAAATGGGCTGCAACTTCAGAAACTATGCAAGTTTAAAGACTGATACAATAATACAAAATAAATGCAGGTTGGCTGAAAATGACAATCAGCTGCAAAACAGATTTATTTTCCACAGGACAAAGAAGGAGACAAGGCACTGAAATTGAAAAGCTTTATTGAATAATGGTTACTGATGTACAGTCTGCTTAGCCAAAGTAACCTCTGCTGCTTTGGCTAGTTATCTCTTTAATCCGTCTAGCCACCTGTACTAGATCAATCTGCCCTGTGTTGGAGATCTTTACATGGGGGACATGTTGGTTATCGACACAGGACACAGGATCTTTTGACCACCAGGAGGTGGAAGTTGGTGTGCCTGGGGTAGGGTGATTTAGCTGGGGTTGCTGTTTGAGTTGAGGATAGGAATTTAAGATTTATGTTACAGTACCAAGGAGGTTTACAGAAGCAGGATGGAAATTGACAACAAAGAAGGGATGAGTGACGTGCAAGAGGCAGTTGTGGTATCAGTCAACAACCCCATCTGAATTATTCACGAGGGGTTTGGCAGTGTCAGCACTGGGGTGCTGGGATCCTCAACCCAGAAAGGGAACTATTTGCTACTGTATTTCCAGTGGTCGCACTGATTCTGAAAGTCCGTAGGGCTGTTTTCTTCCTGACTTTGAAATGTCCTCCCCCTACAGTGTATCTTAAAACCTCAACCTCCTGGTGCTCCCAATTTAATGCCAAAATGTTCCATGTTGATGAGGGGCCCCTACACAGACATTGTTTAAAGTATATACTATCTTCTTTTAAAACATTGCTGTACATAAACAACACAACTTCAGAAGGTCAACACTTTTTAATTTTTTATATTCAGGTCTAATTACAGATTTTTTCCCTCAACTGTTTATAGGTTCTTGTTTAAATTTCACATATATTTTTATCCCTGCACGGGTTATGTACATTTCTTGTATAAGTCTATTTTTAATTGCACATTTTAAGTTGTGGGGGGCGTCGGTTTTGTGGTTAATTTGTAACAAATGTTTCATGTCATGTACGTCTTTGTAACCTACTACTGGATGCTTTGAATGTCCCTCGGGATCAATAAAGTATCCATTCGTCCATCCATCCATCCATATCGCAGCAATCAAGGCCAAATAAGCCAGCTGCTGGGAAGAACCCTGTAGACTCAGCACTAAGCTGCATTATTACTGCTTGACCTTCCACTGGGCAAAACTCTTCAGCATGCACTGGCTCTTTTGGAGATCTGGATCAAGGGGAATAATTGAGATTCTGATGATTACATTATAAAACAGTGGATGCCTGCCCCCGGGGGGGATGACATCTGAAATGTGTAATGCTGGTCGTCAGACGAGCATTAGTCCTTTTATAAGAAATGTCTCCGCAGTCGACCATCAACAGACTTTTGTTGAACTTCACAAACACAAGGGGGAGGAGTGAAATGCTAATATTTGCAAGTGATAATCGCTGCTACACAGTCCTGTTAATCGCATACCAGCTGTCACAAATTAAATGATGTCAGACGAGAGCATGCCACTGTGCAGCACGGTTTTGTCGGACGGCTCACACCCATTCACACTGGATCCGTTTCTGGGACATCAGCGTAGCGGAGTGCACCCATGACACATCACAGGAGAACTACAAGATCCCGCGGGAATAAAGAGAAAAACATGCAAACAACATGTTGTTTTGTCTTTCTAAAGAATATGTGGTGTTCATTCGGTGCCTGTTTTGACGTAATGTTATGAAAAGTGATGAAAAATATGATCACAAGTCC